CACTCAGCACCATCTTGCAGCTCAGCTATTGGCCACCGTGCTCTTGGGGGACGTTGGCCACTGGCTCTTTGGGGAATCCTTCCCACAAGTATTCTGGGTCATTCTGGCCCCTCAAAGGGTGATTCCACCCCCTTGGCCTCTTCCATACTCCACAGCAGCATCGGGGGAGCCTTGCTGTGCCAGGTCCAGATACTGGAGGCCCGAGCAGGAGGGACAGCGCCCTATGCTGGACTCAGAGCCCCTTGCTGCATCCTGTGTGCTTGCTTCTGGGGTCCCTGCTCAGAGACTCGCTTGCTTCTCTGCCATTGGGTCCGACTCATCATTAAGATTTTGTGTGTGTCTTTGGAGGCCTGGAGCGATAGCACAGTGAGTAGGGTGTTTGCCTTGCATGCAGCTGACGTGGCTGACCCGGCCGACCCGGGTTTGATTCCTTTGTCCCTCTCAGAGAGCCCGGCTAGCTACCTAGAGTATCCCGCCCGCACAGCAGAGCCTGTCAAGTTCCCTGTGGCGTATTTGATATGCAAAACACAGTAACAAGTGTCACAATAAAGACGTTACTGGTGCCTGCTTGAGCAAATAGATGAGCAATGGGAGGACATTGCTACAGTCCCATAATAGGGGAACGGACCTCCAGGTACAGAGTTACCTTTGTGGAGAAATTGAAGAGGAAGAACCCAGCTTCTGCAGAGCTGCAGAACACCCATCTCAGTATCTGGAGACCACTTTGTCAGAGTAACTGGCCACAGAGGATTCATTTTTAATTAATTTTCTGCAGAAGTCTTTTGAGGTTCATAGTATATAGATATATTCCCATTCTACAGATGAGGTCACTGGGGCTAAGAAAAGCAATTTGTCCAAGAGTATATTGGTAATTAGCAGAACTAGGATAGATCCCAAGACAATCCTCCAAATCAGAGCCTGGAAAATTAATTCTGTATCATCTCCTGATGATTATGCATTCTGAGAGCAGAACTGAGCAGCATCCTTTAAATTAGTGAAAGTGAACTTTTGCTCCAAGAAACATAAGACTTTTGCTGACAAAAGTAACCTACCTTTGCCATAAATCACTTTACCAGTGCTTCCAAAATTTCAATTATTAGACTATTATCTTTGTGATTTTTTCCACTTTTCCTTGTGCCATCTGGAACATTATTGGCATGTTTTTCTGTAGTTTGATTAGTTTTCCTTAAATAAATTGATTTCAAAGAAACCAAAATGTAAGTGGAAGCTAGAACAGCAAGAAACCAAAAGTAACTATCAAAACAAAGGCAAAAACTACAAAACAATGTATCAAATTTCAGCTAACGGGTTGACACAGGTATTGTCACCATTCCTCCCATCTTCCTGCAGATCCTCTATCAATTCTATGTACACAATTCTAACTTTAAAGGAGGAGGCTGCATAGTTCCCAGTTGAGAAATGTTTATCTATGCAGCAGGAATCTTTCCTTAGTAATTTTAAAAGGCATTCTGCATTCTAATTGCACCTAAAAGACCACCATGTCAGTTTGGTAGTCTCTTGAATCATGGAGTTGGCATCTATATGAATTTACATTTATGGAAAGTAAATGGTTAGAAGCTTCTTATTTGAAAGAGACACTTGAGTCCTTGAAAGAAACACTTGCAAATAAAGGTCCAACTCTTCAGAATGCAGGTTTTTTCCTTATATTTTATTCTGGTTTCTAGGCCATGCCAGTAATGCTCAGGGTCTACTCCCTGCCATGTGCTTGGGGATCATTCTTTCTGGTACTCAGGAGACCTTGTGGTGTCAGGATTGAATCCAAAGATCCAACATGTAAAGAATACAAAGACCAGGTCTTTGAGTATCATCATGGCCCTGGAGAGTTTTATAAGATATCTATTCTTATTTGCTGATATATTGCATCACATTTATTATTGTTCCAATTACTCAGTGCCCAATGGATGGTCTGTGATAGTACCCAGTGGATGGAGCCTGATTGACACATGAGTATGTGAACTGAGAATTCATCCTTTAAAAATATTGGACAATGATTAGATAGATGATAGATAGATAGATAGATAGATAGATAGATAGATAGATAGATAGACAGACAGATAGATAGTCTTTTGCGGGGGGACATTAGAGTAGAATTAACATGAACCCTCACCTTCCTTCAATTTTAACACTGGAAGAAATCAGACTCACTGTACTCATTTAGGCATTCTTAAATGAACACTCACATGCTGCCTGACTGCCCCGAGCAACTGGCTTCTTCAACATTTCCTTGAACTTCTGAGAAGCTCTAATTACTTGGAATTTGTCCCTTGACTCATGCTGCCGAGTCCTCAGTCGCAGGCTGTTCCACAGAAGAATAATCGGGTTGCAGACTGGTCAGAAACCTTGCTTTCAGTTATTGGGACCTTGAGACAGCTGGGACTTGTAGGAGAATCAGAAGAGTCAGAAGAGAGCCAGGCCCACTGACTCCTGCTCCTGTGCTCTTTGCAGTAGGCCAGGCTGTCACTGTAATTTGTTTGTGCAGCTAAACAAAGGGATTGGAATAAGTCCTTCCGTGTAGAAATTTAACCCGTGTAAATGAACTATTTAAAGAAATGTGCTTCTTCTGTGCACAGCTATGCATGACTATTGTCCATGCAACCAAACCAAGAAAACAAAGTGCAGCAAGCAAATGGAAATGACAGAGCTCCAGGGTGTTAGATGTGGGCCCAGTGCCCAGACAGCATTGCTAACGAACTCTGACAGGGGGACTATTTACAGTGCTCATAATAGAGATGCAACTCCACACCTTCTGTTAACTATTAACAATAGCTCCATAACAATCTTTCAGAGGTATGCTAATCCAAGAACAAGGGTGGAGATGGGATACATTTCCATTTGGGGGTTGCCCTTTGCTTATTTAAAATTTGTAACTGAAAAAGTTAAAAATCAGTTTAGGGTGGCACATGCTCTCTTCTTCCTTCTCCTCCCTTTTATTGTTTAGCATCTGGTGGTGTTCTGGAGTCACTCTGACTAGTGCTCCGGGGAGCATGCCATATCAGGGATTGACCTGGGGTCCCTGTAACTCAAGGCAATCTGTAGCTCTTTAAGCCATCTCCTGGGCTCTTCTCTTTTCTTTTTAGGAAAGATCTGAGTTTGAATATATAGATATCTGGGAAGGAGCCCCCCAAAAATCTGAGAGTATGTTGCTGTAGCTTTACCTTGTGAGTGGCCAGTAAAGTGTTCTGACTAATTCCAAAATCTTGAGCTTGTCCTCACTCTGAAAAGATACTGAGATCTTAGTTTCTTTTCATACACGGGAAGGACTTGCTTGACTCCATCTCTACTCCTTTCCCAGAACTTGTAATGCTCTTATTCTCATTGTAATGTTTGAGGACTCTTTTCCTAAAAAAAAAGCTGAAACCAACATGAAGGGGATCACTTCCTGTCTCTCTTTAGACTATGTAGTAGAATACAGTAAAACCATTATTCTCTCTCTCTCTCTCTAACACACACATTAAATTTTAAATTAACAGAATATTTAGCTGTACCTAGGAGATGTTTTCAATTGATGAGTTTTTAATTAACTGGCAATATTTTGTTAATAAGTCAGATATATAAGTCAATATAATAGTACAGTTCCTTGTACACCCTTCTCACTGTAAGCAATCTTCCCAACTTGAAGGGTCACTGTATTTATACTCATGACAGAAAATAATAAACTAATGGATTAAAAAATCAAAATAGGTAGTAATTTCTAACTCATCCTTTGTTCCTATCTCTCTGACAAAATGCATACTGTCTTTCTAAGTTGCTAAATGGCAATCATTTTAAATTTGCTTACTGGGCTTTGAAGAGGAAAATATAACAATATTCTTATATAAAGAGATGATGAATTTTTCAAAGACAGTTTTAATAAAATGAATTTTTCACTGATTTTCTTTTGTTTAACTGGTTTTCCTTCCTTCCTTTGAATTGCTACACAAATAAAGTATTGTTTTTGTGTACTATTCAAGATTATTTTGGTTGCAATTATAACTGATAACCAACTCAAACCGACTTCAGGAGGAGGAAACAAGAAATTTCTTGGTGCTTATAGTTGGGGAGTTCAAGGATAAATTGTTCTAAACTTTTAAGCCTTCTATTGTGTCAGCAGGACATTGAATTCTTTTATAACTCTGCATTCTTTGTGTTAGCCTCTTTCTCAGATAGGATCTCACCACAAAGTGTCAGGGAGATGAAACACAACAAATTGTCATCAGAGGCAACAGATGCAACTTTTATCAGTTTAGCAACAGCGACGCAAACAGAAGTTTTCATGTATTTAGCTGGTGGATGTTTTGGGGAAGACATGTACCAATGCCCTTAGGGTCAGTTTCTAGTCATGTGATCCTCACTGGCACTAGGATTTGAGGCAGAGGGAGGGCATTTGCAAACTTGAAAGCTGAGACCTTTTTCTCAGGTAAAGAGAGAAGAGACAGTCATCAGCAAATTTAAGCAAAAGTCCATTTTCATTGCTCCACTGGTGTTTTTTCTAAATAGTTCTCGAGAGTTCATTATGTTGTCAACGAGTTATGATTACCCACACAAAAATGAGTACTATGATTATCAAAAAAAGCTTTAGAAAGGACTAAAATACCTTATAAAAAGCAACATGAATGGCAATTTTTCAGTTATGCATGCACTATTTTAATCAGAACAACAATATGGTCATCAGCTATTACTAGCGAACATCCTCATGCAGATCATATAAATAAGCTGTTTCCAGGAAGAGTTAAAAATGACAAACTTATTAGCATAGAGTAAAAAGTAAAAAGAGATACCGGATGTTTTCATCTCCAGGAGATTCATAACATTTTTTTAAAAACTATCAATACTCACCTAAGCTGTAATTCATTGTCATTAGCTTCTTCTGTTTTTTTTTTTTCTGTAGGAATAAGTAGGAAACACATTACTTCATCATTTGGCTACCTTTTTTAGTAACAAGAAATTTATTTTCCTATGTTACCTTTTCACCTAAACTCTATTTTATTCTTCCATCCTAGGACTCTGTGGGCACTGAAATCCAACTCACCCATGCTGATATCCTGTTATGGACGAGCTTGATTCTAATGTGAGGTATGTTGCATTTCTTTATATGTTATGCTATAAATTATGGTCATACATAATATCGGGTTTCTGAAAAATATGTTACAGTTACGAGCTGATCAATGTGGACTCTCTTCAGTGTTTTCTATTAAATCAATGTGATACTGTTTGACTAATTTTTCACTTTTGTCAAATAATAAATATAATATTACAAATAATAAATATAATATAATATTACAATGTTTCTAGATATCTGTAGAGAAAGTCTGATTTATAGGAAATATTGTAACATGCAAATAAAAGGAAGATGTGTATTAAATCTCTGTATTATCTTCTGTAACAGAAATAAAGATACATTTAAATACACATAAAAACCCCAAACATTTAAGAATAGATGTGCATTTAAACCTTAGATATATGCATTCAAGTAGCTTATTTTTACTTAGTCATTAAATTGGATGGCATATGGCTGCATTAGGGATAGTTACAGAATGCTAAATGATTTTTGTCTTCTTTTCTTTTAACTTGCTGCAACTCTTGGAGATCAAATAAATGTATGGCTAATAGAGTGAAGTGATTTTTTAACTTTAAAGACAGATGCATTTTATTTAGCATAATCAAGTAAAATAGTAATTGTATCGCTTGTATCACTTGTCATCCCGTTGATCTTCGATTTGCTCGAGCAGGTGCCAGTAGTGTCTCCATTTGTCTCTGTTGAGTGCTAGGGTAGCCCAAGTGGCATCTGCTTGCTCCAGGGACATGAAGAGTCTCAAACCGTTTGTTCAGGGTTTTGACGAAGAAGTCTGACAATCTCCTAGGTGGGTGGCCACACGTCCTTATTAGAAAATATTGTTTTATACAGCACTGTACTGTCCTCCCATTGTTCATTGATTAGCTTGAGCGGGCCCAGTAACTTCTCCATTGTGGAACATGTTACTGTGTTTGGCATATCGAATATGTCACGGATAGCTTGCCAGGCTTTGCTGTGCGGGCAAGATACTCTCGGTAGCTTGCTGGGCTCTCCAAGAGGGACGGAAGAGTTGAACTCCGGCCAACCGGGCTGGCTGTGTGCAAGGCAAATGCCCTACCGCTGTGCTATCGCTCCAGCCCCACAGCACTGCACTGTTCTTCTGTTGTTCATCAATTTGCTCAAGTGGGCCCAGTAATGTCTTCATTTTGAGACTTGTTGTTACTGTGTTTGGCATATTGAATACGTCACGGGTAGCTTGCCAGGCTTTGCCGTGGGGCTCCAGTGGCGCAATTGGTTAGGGAGTGGTACTTACATGGCAGTATGTGCTCCAGCCCCATTATTTTATAATTTTATAATATAATAATTATTAAATATTATAATTATATTTAATTATATTTAATTATTTTAATAAATAGTATCATTCATTTATTTTTATTATTTATATTTATGTTTGATAAATATAAATGATCATTTTAAAAGAAAAAATTGTTTATTTATAAATAATTGTCTATTATAACAAACAATAATTATTCATTAGTAAATAATTTCATTATATTTAATTAAATATCATGGTCACGGTCCTCCCATTATTCATTGATTTGCTTGAGCAGGCCCAGTAACATCTCCATCGTGAGACTTGTTGTTACTGTGTTTGGCATATTGAATACGTCACGGGGAACTTGCCAGGCTTTGCCGTGAGGGCGAGATACTCTCGGTAGATTGCCGGGCTCTCCGAGAGGGGCAGAGGAATCGAACTCGGGTCAGCCATATTGGCCACTTGCAAGGCAAACGCCTTACCCGCTGTGCTATCGCTCCAGCCCATAATTAAATATATTTATATTTAATTGATTATTAAAATAATAAAATTATCAAATATAATTATTAAATAAATAATTATTAAAATATTGTAAAATAGTAATTAATAAGGCTTAAATCTTATTAAATAGCATCTGTGGCTGAAAACTACCCATTCATATTAAAAGCAAGGAGACATCCTAAAAGAATACAAGCTTGGTGCAATCCCAGCAAGTTTTACCTTCACTAGAGATTTGTAGAAAAGCAGGTTTCTTTCAGTCATAGACCTGAGACACGTGGCCTCAGTGTGTAATACGAAAAGTGACATGGTAGAGGGAACCTGCTTAGTAGCTCAACAGACAATAAATGAACTGGGTTTCTTTCTTTTTTTTTTCCCCCTTTATTTTATTTTATTTTTTTTAAAGTTGTAGATTTACAATTTTTTGTGCTTTGGTTTCAATTATACAATGATCAGATACCCATCCCTCCACCAGTGCCCATTTTCCACCACCATGGATAATATCCCTCCCACCCCCATCCCCCCATCCCCCCTGTCTCTGTGGCAGGGCAATCCCCTGTGTTCTCTCTCTCCTTTTGGGTGTTGTGGTCTGCAAAAGAGGCATTGAGTGGCAAACATGTTCAGTCCATAGTCTACTTTCGACATGCATCTCCCCTCCTGGGAGGATCCTCCAAACATCCTTTATTTGGTGCTCCCTTCTCTATCTGAACTGCCCTTTCCTCTAGGATACCCGGCTGGCCTCTAAGTTATGGAGTAATCCTCCTGGTGCTGATCTCAGCTATTCTTGGGTATTAATCTCATACTTTGTTACTTTATATCCCCCAGATGAATGCAATCTTTCTATGTCTATCCCTCTCTTTCTGACTCATTTCGCTTAGCATGATACTTTCCATATTGTACCACTTGTATGTAAATTTCATGACTTCATCTTTTCTAAGAGCTACATAGTACTCCATTGTGTAGATGTACCAAAGTTTCTTTAACCAGTCATCTGTTCTTGGGCATTCAGGTTTCTTCCAGGTGAACTGGCTTTCTAAGATGTGCTGCCACCTTGATCTGCCATCTCTTGAGTAGAGAATGTTTTTACTGCGGAATCATAGATACATGGTGGATATTTAATGAAGGGGGTGATAAAGCAGTTCTTGTTGTCCTACAAGAATTTCAAATCAGGTTGTTTTCGTATACCTGCTGCGCACAGAAACTCTTTATAGTTAACAATAAAACATGTATCCCTTCAAGTGATGTCATGGGCTTTTTTATTTACCCAACACGTGAGCTCGATGTAGTCTTTGAACTTCAACACAGATTTTTATGTGCCTGTGCTACATTTTTATCTAAAATTTTGTGAAATTATTTTTCTAAATAAAAGCACAGTGGAATGTAGAGAATCCTGATTTATTTTTGTTCATTCAAAGGTCAAAGTTAACACTGGGAATGAGGATAGGAAATTGTTCTTAAGTTTCAGACACTGTATAAAACTGGATCCATTAGTTAAAATGCATTTCTTGGTGGTAACCCCAATTTTGTGATCCCTAACATTTTTTGATTTTCTTTTTTTTTTTCGTTTATGTTAGCATAATATTGGCAGAGTACAATTCAATTAAATAAAAAGGAGCCATTTCTCTCAGTGCTATGGAGCAATATTAGTGCCAGATGCAAGACACTGCTAAGCTCCACCCCCCCACCATCTTGTCTCTGAACTCTCCTTATTGTCATACTTCTAACCTGATCCCATCAACGTATGCTCATCTTCATCCACACCCACTCCCAACCTATAGTATCAACTTCCTACTATACAAATACCATAAAATTTCTCCCATTTTATCCTCATTACAGCCTCTGGGGGTATATAACAAAGGCCATGGCGTGGTGGGAGGGTTTTTGAGCCATACCCAGTGGTGATGTTCGGATGCTACTCATGGTTCTGTGCTCAGGAACAACCCCACTGCTCCCAAAACACACACACACACACACACACACACACACACACACACACACACACTGCTGGTGCTCAGGGGACTGACCACATGCAGTGCTAGAGATTTGAACCAGGGTTGTAATCACCAAAGCCACATGCAAGGCAAGTGCCCCACCTCCTGCACTATCTCTCTGGCCCTAAAGAGTATTTTTAGGGTTCACACTTTCCAAATCATGATGCACTTCCCAACTCCATGCTAGGTAGTATACTTTTTATTTTCAAAAAAAAAAATTTGAAGTAAATTCAAAAGTTAAGTAACCTTAAAATAGTGAAAATATGGTAATACTATTTTGCTAATAACAATAAATAAACAATAGAGAATTCTTTTAGAATATGGTTATTTAAATTTGGAAAGTAAGTTTATTTAACATGGGAGAAAGGGGCCTAAAGACGGTTAAAATGGCAAAGAGGGATTAACTATTTGGTGATGCATGGAAACTAGACTTTTTTGATGGTGTTATATGGAATCTACAGATACGGAATTACAATGTTGTATATTTGAAAAACACCTACACACATATATTAACACAAATAGATGCATATATATGTTCACATGCATGCACACTACAAATCAATGTTGCTACAATAAACTATTATTAATATTTAAGTCATGTAAATAAAAATGTTACTTTATGATATTTTCCAAAAAATGAATGTGGAAAAACATAACAAGAATACCACGCTTCTGACTGGGGTCTAGAAACTATTGCTCTCGGTATAACTAGACAGAATAAATGTTACCATTTTAAAGATTAGAAGCTAGATATTTTGAGGGGGTAAGAAAACTTAGGTCTTCACTTGGTAAAGATCCTCTGTAAAATGAGAACTAAATAATTCAGATTCTTGGCATAGAAGAGGACATTTATTTGCTTGTTTAGAAGACAGTGTGGTGAATGGAGTGAAGGGAGACGACTGGAAAAGAAACACTCAGAGAATGAGAATCTGGATACCTCTTAGAACCTGTGAGGCTTTGGTGGCCTGGCCTCTGTGAGGCCACTGTGAGGCCACTGTGTCTTTGGGTTGGTTTTTTTTTTTTTTTTTTTTTTCTTTTTGGGTCACACCTGGCAATGCACAGGGTTTACTCCTGGCTCTGCGCTCAGGAATTACCCCTGGCAGTGCTCAGGGGACCATATGGGATGCTGGGAATCGAACCCAGGTCGGCCGCGCGCAAGGTAAATGCCCCACCCACTGTGCTATTGCTCCAGCCTCTGTGTCTTTGTTTTAAGTGTCTACCTTTTTGTTTGTTTTAAATGTCTACCTTTTTGTTT